GGGCCGAGCGGCGAGGCCGGCGGCGGCGTGGCGGTCTGGGTGGCGCGGGCGGAGGTCGGCGCCGGGTCGCAGGCGTCGGCGCCGGATGCGACGGAGCGGGCGTCATCCTGCGCGGCGGCTGACGCGCCGAGGATGCCCGACAGCCCATGAGTCATCTGGGAGCAGTGAGTCGCCAGCGACTCCCGCAGCTGCTGCTGCAGCAGCCGCTCGCGCTCGAGCCGCAGCTGCCGCCGCCGCTCGCGCGCGGCGGCGGCGGCGGGGTCGGAACCCGGAGAGGGGGAGGCAGGCGCCGAGGCGAGCGCCGAGGAGGGGCGGCTGAGGCTGTCCGCGAGCAGCTGGGTCAGGCCGGCGGTGAGCTGCTGCGAGTGCGCCGCCAGGGATGCGTGGAGCTGGGCGCGGAGCTCGGATATTGTCCGCTCATTGGTAGCTATGTTCCTGTGGAGCGACGTCACCCGCTGCCGCGCCGGCCCGAGAAGCTCCCCCGCCGCGAGTTGCGACGGCCCCATAGGCGACGGCCCTGGCGATCCGGGCACGGCGGCGGCTGCGGCGGCCGCCACGGCGGGCGAGAGCGGGGACCGCGGGAGAAAGGCGGGGGCGGCGGCGCCGGGCGCGGCCGCGTCGGTTGGGTCTCCGCCGATCGCCTCCATTATGGTCCTCGCCACCATTCGCATCATCGAGGGAGGCTCTGAGGCCCCAGCTGCCAAGCGCTGGTGGGGGGAGGGGCGGCGGGCGTTTGAGAGGAGCTTTTGTTGGCCCGCGGGGCGCGCTGTTGGTTGGAGGGCGGACGGGGTAATGAGGGCGATGCCATGACCCTGGGACATGTGTGTGATCGTCGGATCAGCTGCCTTGCTGCCGCGTACCCACACACGGGCACACAGCAGCCCGTCCTGACGAGCAGCGTCCTGCTGGCCTCTGCAGTCCTGCGCCGCTGCTGCGGCCCGCCTGGGCGCGGCGCAGGACTGTTGCTGCTGCTGCATCGGCCGCAGCCTGCTGCTGCTGCATCGGCTGCAGTGCACGCGCTGCGTTGCTGCCGGCTGAAATATTCGCGATCGCCTCACCGTGGATAAGACGGATAGCTCATGCGCGCTGTGCCTGCTACATCAGCCTGTAAGAAACTGTCGCTTTGACCTGCTACCTGGGCAACGCTGCCTTACGCCACAGGAGTTCTCTGATATAGTGGCATGCTTTTCATGCGTGAGGCGGACGCACGCAAGCCCCAGGCAGCGGATATCTTTTTGCGGTGCCGGGAGGTGATCGGGCATTCGTGGGAACGGCAAGGAATCATATAACTATAAGCACATATGTATATGTAAATACCACTCAGTTTGAAGTTCTAAGCCCATAGAAGTCTGAAATTCTCGTGGCGTGCTGTGTCGTACTGCATAATACATTTTAGACGGCGTGAGAGGAGGCAGTATGCCACCAAAGAAGGCAAAGGCGCTGCCTCCCAAGCCAGAGAACCTCTCGCAAGAGCAGGCAAGCACGACGCACAGAACGCATACCTGGCCTTGCGTGCTGCACGCGCGCGCGATGCGCCCAAGCTATCCCCACCCTCAAAGCTTGCGTGCGGAATAGTGCCCCATTTTCAACATAACACTCGGTCGTCATCGCGACCGCTTCCCCCGCAACCCCGGCGCCTCTCCCGCAGTGGGAGTTGGCGAACAATGTCGGGGGGCTGGTGGAGCTGCTGGCGTCCCCCACAGCCAAAGACGCCCCGGCCACCAAGGCGCAGGCCGCCCTCTGGCTCTTGTCTTACGTCAACGCTGGCGAGGCGCGCCGAGACGAGGCCTTCAAGGCCGGCGCCGTCGACGCCTGCGCGCGCGCCGCCGCCGGCGCCGACGAGCCCGCGGCTGCCGCGGCGCTGTCGCTGCTCGCGGCGTTCGCGCGGGGGCCGCCGCAGCACAGGGAGGCGGTGGCGGGCGCGCGGCCGGCGCCGCTGGCGACGCTGCACGGCGCGCTGGCAGGCGGGGGCAGCAGCTGCGCGGCGGCCGCCGCGGGTGCGCCGCGCGGGGTTCAGCTGGGATGCAACCCTGTCCCACATGTTCACAAGCAAAGCGGAGCGAGCAGCCACGAAATGAAAGCCCGTGCTCCTCCCCTTTCGGCAGCACGGAAACAGAGCCCGTTCAATGCTGCTCTTGCGACCGCAGATCTTCTCCTGGCCCTCGCTGAGGCGCCTGAAACGCGGCCGCGCGTGCACCGCGCCGCGCTGTCATGGGACCTGCAGCCCCTGCTGGCTGCCCTCGACATAACCCAGAAGCTGCCCTTGATGGGCGGCCGCGCGGCTGCGGCAAGCTCGGCCGCGGCGATCGACCTGCTGGCCGCCGGCCCTGCGGCGCCCGCCAGCGGCGAGGCCGGCGGCGGCGGCGAGGCGAGCCCGGCGGACGCGGCGGCGGCGGAGGCGCTCCAGCGGGCGCTGGTGGCGGCGGGCGGGCTCGCCGCCTTGGTCCAGGTGCGACGCCTCGCAGGCGGGGCGGCGCGCGCCCACCAGCAGCCAGTTGTGAGTTCCCAAGGCGCGTGACCGGCCCCACCGGCAGGAAGGAAGGGATCTCATGTCCTATGTGATCATAAATGACCCGTCAGTGACCCAGATTGCACACACCCATACCCTGCTGATACCCATGGATTTGCCGCCTAGGTGACTCGGCACCGCGGCGCCAGCGGGCGCGCCAGGTCGTCTGCCCTCTCCGCGCTGCACCGCCTCGCCGCGTCCCTGGGCGCGGACCCCGCGTTCAAAGAGGCCCTCGTGTCAGCCGGCGCGCTGCCCGCGCTTGCCGACGCGCTGCGGTGCGAGGGGCTGCCGCTGGCGGCGCGCGCCCACGCGGCCGGCTGCCTGCACGCGTGGATGGCGCCGCCGACCCCGCAGCAGCGGCAGGGCGGCGGCAGGCAGCTCGGGGCGACGACGGGCAAGCAGCCGCGCGCGAGCACGTCCGGCGGGGCCTCCCCCAAGCGGCCGCTGTCGGCGGCGGGCGCGGGCGCAGCCCCGTCCGCGGGCGGCGCAATGGGCGGCCCCGACGGCGGCGGCGGGGGCTCGCGGCCGGAGAGCGGCGCGGGCGACCCCGGCAAGCCGGGGGTCGTCGCAGCCGGCGCGGGCGCGGGCCAGCAGGCTTCCGGGCCGCAGGCCGCGCGGCAGACGGCGGTGCGCGGCCTGCAGCCGAATGGCGCAGACGCTGGGGACGCCGGCGGCGCGCTTGCGGCGATCGAGCGCGCGGCTGCTGAGTGGGGAGACGAACCAAAGCGTGCGGTCTTGGAGCGGGCGCAAGCCGTGGCGCAGGTGCGCGGTGATCCTGTGCGGTGTTCATAACGGGAGGCTGAAACGCAGGCTGACTGGGCGTCCTGCTGGGCCTTGAAGTGCGGCCGCGATCTACACTCGCAAGATCGGAGCGGCACACGGCGCCCATCGCTGGGGCGTGATGATGACGATGGCAAAGTGGACGCAAAGGATGCGCAAATCGACGCCAGCCTGATGCTCCCTCAATCCTGGGAGACCCACAGCATTGAAGGCGTCCCCCCCCCCACCTTGCTGCCTGCTTCGCATACCTCCCCCTCTCCTTGCACGCAGCTCAGCGCCATCCCCGCGCTGCTGCGCATGTGCACGGGCCCGGGCGGCCCGCCCCCGGGCATGGAGCGCCTGCCGCCCTGGGGCGACCCCCCGGCTGCCGCTTGCGACGCCGGCTTCGGCGCCGCTCTTCGCCAGGACGGCGGCGCCGACGGCGCGCCCGCCGCGGCACTGGGGCTGGTGAGGGAGGGCAGCGAGGAGGGGGCTGATGCAGAGGGCGGCATTGACGAAAACGGCGCGGACGAGGCGCGCGGGTCGAGCGCGGGCCGGCAGCGGCCCGGCGGCCCCGCGTCCGCGGGCGCGCTGGGCGGGGGTGCGGGCCGGAAGGGCAGGGGCGGCAAGGCGGCGGGGCTGGAGGAGGGACAGGCGGAGGCGATGCTTGCGGCGGTGGAGGTGCTGGGGCTGCTGGCCTTAGATGACGGGCAGCATGCAGCTCTGCTTGCCGCGGGCGCGCCGCGCGCCCTGGCGTACCTGTGCGGGCCGGGCGCGGGCGCCGCGCCGGCGGCGGCGCGGTGGGGGGCGCGGCAGGTGATGCTCATGCTCGCGGTGCCGCCGCCGGCCCAGCAGCAGCAGCAGCAGCAGCAGCAGCAGCAGCAGCAGCAGCAGCAGCAGCAGCAGCAGCAGCAGCAGCAGCAGCAGCAGCAGCAGCAGCAGCAGCAGCAGCAGCAGCGGTCAGCTCCTGGGTCTGTCTCTGGCAGCAGGCCGAGCCCACTGCCCACGGCAGGCTGGGGGGAGGAAGGCGTGCCGCCATACCTGACTGGTGCCGGCGTGCCCCGCAGCCACTGGGACCGCGTCGCGCCCATCACGCTTGAGCCGCTGCCGGCGCTGCCGGCGCTGCCGCGGACGATGGCGCGGCGGCTGTCGGGGACGCACGGGGCGCTGCCCGCGGGCGGCGGGGCACCAAGGTGGGCTGCGCGCAGGCGACCGCGGGGTGTGGGGCGCCGAACGGGCCACACTGTGGGGCCAACGCCTCGGCAGATGGCCAACATATTTGCTGCACGCGGCTGCGCTAGCTCAAACACATACATGATGTCAGCTTGACCTGCCCAGGTGGTGTGCGCGAATATTAAGACCTTTTATCAATCCGTCCGCCCGCTGCGACCCCCCTGCAGGGCGTCTTGTGAGTCATCAGACGGCGGCGGGCCCAAGGCGCCGCGCCAAGCGAGGGGCAGCAGCATCACGAGCGCATCGCTGCGACCGTCGGCCGTGGGCTGAGTCGGACGCAGGCGGCCGGGTGGGCTTGAGCGGGCGCACTTGCACGCACCTGGAGTGGCCTGGCGACCTCTCCTCAAACCGTTCAAGCAGCCTCAGTCCTTGCGGGCTTCCCAGCTGTTTCTTATTGCGCAAGTCAATGGTGCTTGGCGGAGCCGTCAGAGCCCCGCAGCAGGCGGCCGGGCGGGCCGCAAGTGGTGGCCCCGCTGATACCTCGGGTCCCCGGAGCGTCGCGCGCAGCCGCCGCCAAGGCTGGCGGGGCTGCCGGCCCCTGACCGCTGCCAGCCGCTGCACGCTCGCTTGTTGCGCTGGCGTGGCAATCCGGGGCGCGCATCAATATGTTTAGAAGCTCGAAGGCTGCCCGCTGGCGCATCATCGTGACCAGGCTTTGGTTACACGCTCCCTGGCATGCCGCTCGATGGTTGGCCGCGTGCGGAGGGCAGCCGGTATCAGCACACAAGACAAGTGTGCACGACAGCACGCTACCAACATGCAGCCTGCTAATGGGGGGGGGCCAGCGCTTCAAATTGAAGCAGTCAGGAAGCTGCAGCGACAGGAGCCAAATAATGCAATTGACCGCGATGAAACGTGCAGCCGAGGGAAGTGGGCAATGCTCAAGTGCTGCGCCTGGCGTCAGGAACCTGCTCTGGTCCGGTCTAGTCCAAAGCAGGCGGCCAGGGAGCGAAACGAAGGGGGTCTGCGGTGGCAGCCCTTTGAATCCCAAGGGTGGCTGCTGATAAAAGGGGCAATAAATGGGGCAGTGCGCCCCATTTGGCGCAACCCGCAGGAGGCCGCAGTGCCGCAGTGCGGGCGAATCCCCGCCGCTGCCCCAAACGGACGTAATCCCGGCCGCTGCGGTCGCGCACGATGGCATCAGTCTCCCCCTCAAAAGCGGGCGCTCAAGGCAAGGCAACGCAGCGTGCATCTGCAGACGCGGCTGCGCACATGGCTGCCCAGCCCCGCCGCGCACCGCCGCGCGCCCCTACCGCCGCGCGGCGCGCGGCAGGCCGCGGCCGGCGCCAGCGCCGGCGCCGGGGCCGTCTGCGGCGCCGCCCTGCTGCGCATTCTGCTGCGCCATGAACTCGTTGAGGCTGGGGGCTATGACCATATCATCCAGTACGTGCCACACCGTGGACACGAGCCCGCTGGCCAGCTTGGCGG